CCATCCTCAGCGGAAACAATTTGTATTTGAGCGTTTAACAAATCCCAGGTGAGAATTTTCATTGTCACAATCAACGTCATTTTAATGTCGTGTTTATGGACACTAGAGACGACCGTGGAGTGTGGATACTGGGTGCCTACAGATGCAAAGAGGCAATAATAATTAATACGCTATATCTAACGTCGTTCCAGGCAAAGCAGCGACGGTAGACGATGACTCTAGCGTGAGCAACTAGGATAGAATCTCAAAAATGCGTGTGGTATGACTGGGATAACCTGATGGGATTGAAGAACATCGTGCTTGGGACAGAGAGGTGCGAAGGGTTCTTATGGACAGAGTGACTTGACGTTTCTTATTCCTGGGTGTACGATTCGTTCCCTTCAAACACAAGTCAAGGTTTATCCTAGATTTTCATGGACGTCTGCAGGACAGGGGCGTCTATATGCCGAAGCTCATCGGGTTCCTGATGAAAGATGGTATTTATGCAGAGATCCTGATGCGCTTCATCTGAATGTTGTTCTTGATGAAAGACCCGAGATGATCGCAGTTGACGTTGAACGGTTTCGATTGGATTGACAATAGTATTTTCATAAGTGTTTCAATATCCTCTGCTAGTCTGTTGGTTAGTACGCGCTCGTTGTGCGTGCGTACGAGGGCTGGGTTCGACTCCAGACTAGACAGTCCGCTTTCCCATTTGAAGTTTTTCCCCGCTCTGTTGAATGCTTACCCGAAGCATAGGGCTGCGCATGTACATGAACCTCCAAGGACAGTAAGATGGAACTTCTTTCCGACCCCGATTTTATACATGCGTGTTTCTGTCAAGTCCAATTCTTACCTCTAAATTCAAAACCATGAAAGCATTCTCCAAGCTTGGCTTTCCTCGTTGGGGGAAAGTACTTAGCTTGCAGCACGTAAATGTAAACGCATCAGTGTAGATATAAGATTATACGAATATAAGTATGTCTAATAGCACAAATCGAGAGAAGAGTACGAAACTCTTGCTCGCTGTGAAGAAAAGACTATGACACGTAAGCAAAAGAAAACTAGTATAGGAATAGCGAAGGGTAAGGGAGTGAGAATTATTTCCAGTGGACAGATATAAGATAAAAGGCGGCTCAATGTGTAAAGACATCAGGGTCTCCCATCGTTGACGTCTACTCGCTTCCGCTGGGCCTTCGGCCTCCAGGTTTCCCAGAGCCTTGGCTAGTTTGGGTTTGTCCTCCGCCATTGGTTCCACTGGGCTTCCCCCCTCGACTCCCTCCAGGTTTGGCAGAACCTTGGCTAGGTTTAGTTTGTGTTCCACGAGGGATGTATCTGTGATGCACTGTATGGTATTTCCCGCTCTTCAGATAGTATAGAACTCACGTACCTTTGGCTAGAGTTGGACGGACTTGTGGAAGATTAGTCAGAGAGAAGTATAGATGAATAGGGTGCGGACCTGGACAGTCGCCTGTGAATTCCCTCGTGAGTAATGGTGTCAAGTAGAACATTCAAATGCATACACACCGAGCACCCGAGAGGATACGGAGGTGTTTGAAAATGTTGAATTGCATGTTGTGAGCGAGGTCGTGGTGTGTTAGTTAAGAAAAAAAGAAGTAATGTAGTGAAGAAATACCCACCTCATACATCGTCTTTTATACCATAGCATATATTGATGTGTATTCCATCTTGGGCTCGTACAAGTCGGCTGTCATCATCTTACATACCATCGACGTTTCAGTATATGCTATACATCATGAGCGGGTCAGAATTCCCTGAAAACACAGAAACGCGTACTCAGGTTGTAAATCCCCGACGTCCCCCAGTGGACCGCGCCATAATAAGACGTACCTACCTACCACGAGCAACATGTATCACCGCGCAGCGTGTTGATAGGACCGAAATTAACATAGGCGATCCGCCATTTTGCGTGTCATGAACGTAAGTAATCGATAGTGTCATATGCAACAGAGTACGGAGGGGCCAACGAAGAACATACGCCGGAAAGAAAATTTGATACATCGATGAGAGGGATCCTGGCATGCAAACCTTCGTGATGATGGGCAGGGCGGGATCGGCGGTATGCCTCACAAAGGCTATATCGGAGCATCATTTTAGATCATACCTATGTTCGAAGCACCGATGAGGCCCTCGAGTCCATTGAACAGCATATATTCTTGAGAGCAGATCAGAAGGTTCAGCGGCCCAAAAGGTATAGACGTGCAACGAAAGAGCTATAAGAAATTCAAGGCCATCACGGCACGATAGCCTCCTACAGGATCAAACCGCGTAGACAAGCGTGTGCCTGCTGCAAAGCTAGATGTTCCTTACGAAGCTCAGCTAGGAATTGCGTGCCGATCTCCGTACTACCGTCTTTGGCTGAATTCTTCGCGTAGTCGCCAAGGAATGCTATTATTGCCCGAGGTTCAAGGATCGGCATATTAGCAGCAGCATTAGTTCCCTTCAACAGGGGAAGCTGTAAGAATGATATGCGACAGTGGGACCAAATTCGTTGTTTGATTGCCTAGCGACTATGCGATGCTCCCCTATCGTTCGCATCTCACCCGGAAACGGCTCTTCGTCATCGTTTAACGTATAGTCCAACGTGAAAGCGACGCCACCATCAATAGGGACCATTATTGCTTATCTTATTGACAGTTTCAATGAAGAGCCAGATCCACTCTGCCTTTCATGATCATCTCAAGCATATCCGGGGGAGATTCGATCGTAGGGAATGTATCGGGAAACCAAGTCTCTGATACCAGTCGGATACGAGAAGTCGTGCGTCACCGCTCTTTGTGCGAGGGAACGTTCCAGACTATCCTGAGGAAAGTCCTGGAATCTAATGAAGATTCGTAGTAGGCTCGGCATTGACATCGAAAAGTTTTCTGAGTTGGGCATTGGTTGTATGGGTAACAAAACAGATGTTCTATACGCCCGAGAGATGTTGGTGGTATCCTCGTACGGATTTCCATGGCGGCCGCTCTAGATCAAAGGATTCGCCTTCCAGAACCTATCAGTCCCTGGCCATTAGAACTGCACGAACACACACCCAAAACGTAAAACGCACTACTACCGATTGTTGAAGATACCCGGCAGATCCTTCATCGATCATCTCTAAAGCGCAAACTCCAGCCCTTCCTGGTGCTCTCTCCAAAAAGCACTTCTGAGCGATCATACATCCCATGGGCTCCCATAATCATCAGTACCTTGTTACCCCGGTCTAATGTAGCACTGCAAACTACGTAGAAATCAGGGACCGCAAAGTGGGGAAAAGGAGGGTCGCCTTACCAGCTCTCAGAGAGAAATTCAACTGCGGTCCTACCACAACGATATCCACATTAGGAACCATGATCTCCCAAGAATCGTCTCCGCGAAAGCGTTGTTCCCTTCTTATTGATCATTGGCTCGTCAGGCTCTTCCACGTCATCCACAGTTCGAATGTGGGTCATCAATGGTGGTGTTCATGCACTGCGCAGTTTCTAAGATCTACGCAAGTCGAGGAGGAAATTCCCGTATGTGGTTATCGGGAAATCGGAAAGGACCAGTATCAGACATTTGGCGAGCTTGGCGAAGATTTTCTTCATACAAAAGATGCCAGCTGAATGATCATTAAAATTAGGATGCGCTGCAGTAGAAAGGTATACTGTACTCGCCTCGTCCAGCCTGCACCCTTCAGTCTTAGTTGATATTATATCTAGTGCGGAATACAGGTTCCGGCGTCTGTCGTCAAGAGTGAGAAAAAAAGAGCTACATACTGTTGGCTATTCACTAATCACGCCTGTACTGGGATATATATTAAATAGTTCACGACCAAGCAAGCATATAGATCTAGGACTAGCAAGATATCAGCGAAGAGCAAAATACTACAAGAAGGTGCGACTTACGCCATCTGGCTTAGATTTCGCGTTGAGAAATTCCTGCAAGATATTGCCTTCAGGGATTGCCGAAAATGCTAGCAATGCGAGGAAGTGATGGTAGTCAGTGGCAAAAAAGGTTCGGCAATTACCGACTTCGTCCGAGATCAACCACCTCTTACAAATTCGACTTACTATCTCAACCAGACACGGTCTTCCACGATCTCTTCTTCCGCTGTGGGTCTGGTCACGTATTGCTTGCTCTCATGTCTTAGATGTCATTTATGTCCACGTCGACCCTGAAATTTCTCCAGATCTGCTCGAAGCCCTACCACCTTGAACAAATTTACGACTCATTCCACATCGGAGACGTCCTTCGGTCAACGTATTTTCCTTCCTCACCTTGACATTAGAAGCTGTAGGAGGGCTCCATAAAATATCGATTGCAACTGTAGCCTTCGAAGAGGTGCAAAGTTACATTTATATCAAATAGAGCACCGTTCGCGTGTACCAAGCTCTCGGCGGCTAACTCAAGGCGTTAACCTTCAAGTTGCTTATGCACGGTAAGCCCCGTCTGCACCAATTACAAACACTTGCTGAAATTCTTCATTAAGTATATTCACCGCCATCAGTCTTAGCAATTGCTAACATCAGAACGTATCATCGCCCCTTGGTGCAAACCTGAATCCAACATCGTGATTTGGCAGTAGATTACAAAACCTCCGAGTACGGGTTCTCTCGTTTTGATCTTTATTTTCTTCGCAGAAATGCATCTCGGCGCCGTGCGCACGTTGGTACTGGGTCTGACGAACAGTTAGCGAGTCGGGTCGATATTCTCCTACCCCCATCCCACCCCATTTCCTTCTGCTATCTTATTTTAGGCCTGGCATGAATTAATCATAAGGGACAGAAGCTCAAAATTCGTCACTTGTTCCTATAGTAGGCATCATACTGGGAATCAGTGAGTTCCCTGCTTCTTCCTTGTCCCGTAACTAACGATACTGAATAGTCTCCGTTCGAAGAAGAGTCTGTCTAAGGCTACTTGAGAAGGTTCTCTAGAATTTAATTCTGCTAGGAGTGAGGCACCCGGTCCATGGAGCGGTGCTACGATTGTATGATGGAGCTATTATATGAATCGAGATTTTCATCAGAAAATACTGACCCACAATCCACCTAAACACAACTGTTGAACTCCCATCCACAGGCAGCTGGTATCCTCCTCTCAGTTCTCATTGTTGGTGGATCTGTTTTATTTCTAGTGGCCCCCCATGACAGTAAAATGCACTAGATCGTCATCTGATGATATCCATCATCGCCCGCTGACCATTCGTCTTTCTTGAAGATGTCTACTTAACCCCTCTAGTCCTGGACTTTTCTACTGATCTGTGGCACGAACCTGGCAACAAGGGGACATAGCACCCAGATCCAACTGTCCTTTGTGTGCTACTTTGATGATTACAGGATATAAAACAAACACTAACCTCTCGATCGATTTGAAGCATTGTGCCTGATGTTGTACATTTGTCTAGCCTGCATTCTTCTACTGGATTTCACAGTTCAAGGGAAGCTCGTTAATGTTACCATTGACGATCAAAGCGCCTCTTTGTTCTATTCTCCCGCAGGCTCGACTAGCTGGAAAGTTGGCGGGGCCTCGTGTCAAGACTGTACAGCAATGGTTAATGCCTCGCATGCTGTTTACGGGACGTGGCATGATTCTACAGTGAGTTCTGTCCATTAAACCGAAATATTGTCATTCACATCTGTGAGTAGCACTTCGCAGACAGTGGCAGTTATCTGAATCCAGTGCCCAACGTATCCGCCTCGTTTAACGGTGAGGATTGCCTTTTCACAAATACAAGTGTTACTTCATGAATGGTATCTACAAGGCACAGCCATCTACGTGATATGCATACTCGCTAAGACCACTTCTTTACCCAACGGGAACTCAGATATGAGCTTCTACATCGACGATGATCTCGTTGGCCAGTTTGTAAAACTAGCTCCCGGAGAGCCAGGTTTCGATTATGATGTTCCCGTGTATTCCAATACTTCCGTTCCCGCCGGTCAACACAGATTCACATTGCAGAATGGACACGTTGGTGGAATGACATCACTAGTACTTTTGGACGCTCTCGTATATACGTATGCCCACCACTCCTGCAGTAGTTGTTTATTCATGGGTTTTTACAGCTACGACGATGGTCAATTTGATCGCAATAACTCTGATACTAGCACGGACACGGTGTCTAGTGGCTCGAATATAATAAGCACCATAGTTGGATTCTCCCTCGCAGGAGCTCTTGCTTTGGTTGTGGCTACCCTTACCGCTATTATATTCCGCCGCCAGCGAAGGAGATACAGCTCGAAGTCCGACGAACGCACAGCCGAACTTGTTCTTGGGGACAGCCATAGGGATGACTATAACCCAGAGATAGGGCAATTCCTGTCGGGAAATCATACGTCAACTGCTGCCAGTGCATCCTCTATCAATAGTTCCAACTCCCCCCATATGAGTGTTATGCAGTCGGATCAGGACATAGACATCACCACAGCACTCCACCCTGAAGTTGACAGTCCTTCAGAACTGGAATGGGATGCGCCCCCACCATACTACAGCTGTTAATAATTAATAGCTCATCCGATGTGAGAAACGGAAAAAGGAAGCTAGTTACCAGGCGGATGGACATTATTTACTTGCACTAGCTCCTTTGGATCCCTGCGTATATACAATGTGACTCCGAAATTTAAGCGCGTCGATAGGGCATTGAAAGGCTACTAGAGATCCGTGAGCACCTGGCATGGGAAAGGCGGCATTGTATTGCCCGTACTCATCTGCAAAGTGTCTCTTTACTTTTGATGAATTAGCATCCCAACCCATACATGCAACCCTAGTGATTTGACCAACTCGTAAAAGAAGTTTGCGGTGTGATCCAAGCAAGGCAGTCGGTCTGCCTCACTGTTATACCACCAAAAGATGATTGTCACCCTGACCCCAGCATATAGATCTCACTGAGTTCCTATAATTGCGCCTGATTCAGAATTTGTCGGATGCTTGCAGCAATTTAGGAACCGTAACATTTCCGCTCGATCAGTGTACTACGTAAAAGACGCAGTCTCAAGCTCAATGAACGTACTGTGATTGATATTCATAGGAAGTAAGACTGAGGACATCAATATCAATGATAAATTCCCTTAGGAACGCAATTAGTTTCTAAATGCACCGCCATCAACTTCGACTTCTACCTAATGTCTTCTTCTGTAACGAACAACAATCCCAGCTTACAACAAGCTGATCAACGACTAATCCCTGATATGCAAAAGAAGACGGGTATCCGAATACAACTCCTCGTGATTACCATAATACCCGGCGAGAGTACCTGCCCTCGTTGTTGATGAATAACTTGGAATATTAGGATATCTGGTATCGTAGTTAAATTCTGGGATTCGATCCGGAGAATAGTAGTCATCACGTTGAATCCATCTGCCACTCTGACTGGTATTCAAGTCGAACTACGATCCTTGAATTCTGTTGAGTATTCATCCTAGCCCGTTTATTATATTCTTACCGTCTCTTCTTTGAACTTACTAACTATATATATAGTTTGGTAAACCCTTTACTTTCGTCGCTTATACCTACCGATTACCCCTCTTTGCACCTCAGTTGATCACCACCACTACGTGTGACTAATTGAGCAGTTGTATTCCTAACAAACTCTTGGTAAGTAGGCGGTAGCGCGAGGTCCCGGAATGATCGCTTTGTGGGAAACACACCGTGCCTAGCGCCGGGAAGTCCAGAAGCATAGAAAATCATTGATAGAATAGGTGCTTCCCCGTGATGCTGAGCAGCGTAAACAATGCCGTAGGGGAGTACATATTATTCGCCACCACCTGACGAGTTAAGATTGTCCTCGGTGCAAGCTGCCGTTGAACTAATTGTCGCTGATATTCGCGGGATGCGCACACGAGGCCTATTAATTCGCGCTCTAGGCTGTATTGGTAAAATGATGATGACTGACATCAGGTATAAAATGTGAGGATTTGAGTTCTGCTGGTATTCATCATGTCAATTTCAAACTTCAGGTTTCCAATTGCTACGGGCAGGAGACTGACATCTGTGCTGCTAGATATGTGCAGTTATATTACGGAACCAAGAGCTGAGAGTTGACGTACAGTCATTTCTTGAAGTTGCTGCAGGTTTGTCGATCTGAACGTGGAGGTCAGAGACGCGTCTGTGGCGTGTGAATCGGATGGCCGTTTGCCGTTTTAGGACTGGCTCCGGTCAACATTGAACACAACGACCACAAACTTGACAGTGCCAACAATCCTCCGGCGACCGCACTCAAAACCCTGAGTTTTCGCTCCTCTCCCTGCTTTCCATATTGCTTTGTTGGGACTGGGAGGATGTCGCAAAACGTTGCTACATGTACGTTTTTTCTTTTCTTTTCTTCGTCTACTTAACTGTATTTAGCTCAGCTTTGCCATAAAAAAGAGTCACCATGAATCAGTTGCGAAAAGAGTGCTGAGTGAAGATTGCGGTAGTGGTGCAGGTATGTTTGTTTCTCATTGCTGTACGTATGGCTCTCATGCTGTGGACATGCCTACCAGTTCTCTGATATCTGACCTCAGGAAGTTCAACAACGACGATGGCGATGAGCAAGGTGCAATGCCCAGGCTGTACCCTTACAATATGGGAAGATATATCTGCTTGTATGTCGCAAGATATCGCCTATGATGCGACAGATCGTCGCGGTACTGGTCGAACAATGGGTGCGACCTATCCAACGAAGGCTGTATGGAGTTGCAAAGGTCATCGATAATCCTTCTTGACTCTCCGTTGTGAGATCTAACGCAACTTTAGCCAGCCATCTCGCTCAATGCATCATTAATCAAGTGGACCGCAGGCGACATCTCGGCTTCAAGCAACACCAAGGCTTTACGCGAATGAACACAACAATTGCAGGGTGACCTTGGCACCATGAAGCCGGACTTGCTGGTACGATCTATGCCTTTTACCATTTATTCTTATCACCGTCGAACACATTTTAGGGTCATCTGACAATGGAAGACATGACTTTTCAATCACCACCAAGTCTCCGCCCGGGCCATAAACGAACTTAAATACGACGAGTTGTGTATCGGATTTAACTTGTGTATGTCAGAGGACGACGACCTGTTCTTCAAGCCCGCTTACAACCAGATTACCCCAACCACGTTCAGCTGAGTTTCCTGGGACCGCGAGAAGTTACTGAATAATACAGATCACCAGTCTTCCCGGTACCGAAGTTCCGCTATTGACCTCCTCCAATGATTGTGCGTGTGTGCGTTCTCGACCTGTGCAAATTTGTTGATGTCGACAATGTTTTTAGGACGCAGAGCTGATGAGGGACGCTTGCGGTACATGAGGTCAATGTTGGTGGTAAAGACGCGCTGTATTCACTCATCCTCAGTTTCCCGTTTGGACGTTAGGAGAGTGAAAGTAGGACGGCCTTGTGGAGCCATGGACTTGCTGTACCCATTGTCCCTTGCTGCATGTTGCCCTTCTAGATTGACGTTGCCTCAGGAGCTTGCAATGCATGATTGCGCACTTCTTACCTTCCGATTCTAATCAACAATGGCCGTATGTGAACCTAGGCGGCGACTGACTGTCAATGCCATGAGAAGCTCAAAATCAACTGTCGGCGTACATAAGCAGTAGGTGCCATCATTGATATTGATAGTAGTATTAACTTGTCTTCACAGCGTGACTCTCAGCTCCTTAAGTAGTAGTGTGTCTACTAGGCTCGGATTGATGCCAATACTGGGTTTTAGAGTTATGAAAAGGTTAGATCCGTTCTACTTGATGACAGTAGCCTATTCGAACTCGGCTAAAGAGCTCTCTGCTAGATCATTACGAGAACTTCTCAGCTTTATCTGCCTGTTGAATCTGGATCACTGAAGGCCAAATTACCGCTGTGCTCGGAGAAAGGGCGCACGGATGGTCGTATTTCCCGAAGCGACCAGCTGAAAGGTATCGATAGGTAAGATAATGGAGGATCGAGCCCGACAGATGGGGATGATACCTACGTTGGGAGTACTAGCTCTCTATGTGCTTGGCAATCAGGCCCGAAGAGATCTTATGGTCCCTCCAACCATTTCATTTGACACGATCACATCGTCGTCTACCACAGAAGTATAAAAGGTGAGCGTGTTTTATGTTTAGCCTCCACCTCTTCTCGCAACTACAATGGCTAATCAGATCCCAAAGACCACACGCTCATACTATTTCCCCGCACTTGGATCCTACACCAATCTCACTTTACAAACGACGTCTATTCCGTCCATGAAGGCTAGTCATGTCCTCGTCAAAGTTCATGCTGTCTCTCTACAGTACCGCGACCTGCTCATCGCCTCGGATAAATACCCAGCAGCCATCAAACCGGACAACCTTGTTCCATGCTCAGACATGGCGGGGGAAGTAGTTACCATCGGCTCTGACGTGACATGCTGGAAAGTCGGCGACAGAGTGTGTGCCAATTTCTATCCGGACCATCTAGACGGAGACATCAATGCGGATATCTTCGATACTGCTCTTGGTGCGGGACAGCAAGGCGTGCTGACGGAGTACAGGACTTTTAATGATTATGTACCATTATCTCCTGTCGCTGTTTTCCTTCGTTGGACTCACCCGCGTTTTCAGTCGCTGGTTAAGATACCCGAACATTTGTCGTACGAAGAGGCGTCAACACTGCCTTGTGCTGGGGTCACGGCCTACAATGCGCTCATGGGTCCCAAGCCTGTCAAAGCAGGTGATAGTGTCCTTGTCCTCGGAACCGGCGGCGTGTCCATGTACGTCCCTCACTCCCGGTCCTTCGTCTGCTTTCTCATCTTCAAGGTATAGCTTCGGTTTACAACTTGCCGTCGCCTCCGGAGCAACCGTCATAGCCACCTCGTCCTCGGATGCCAAACTAGCCATCGCAAAAAAACTCGGCGCTACCCATACGATCAATTATAACACAACACCCGACTGGGACAAGGAAGTCCTGAAGTTGACTGATGGGAGAGGCGTTGATCACGTCTTGGAGGTATGTGTAGTCGCTTCTTTGCCTGATATCATTTTGACATTCGAAGGTTGGAGGATCCGGTACACTCGAGAAATCGATATCGGCTGCACGGTATGCGGGGTCCATTCATATGATTGGGTTCGTGGCCCAGAACCAGCTTGCGCCGATGGATTTCATTATAGCGTGCATACGCAAGGCTATTATCCTGCGAGGCATTGCAGTTGGTTCTATCGCACAGTAAGCTTCCTTTCCGTTTTTCTCTTCTTTGACTAATTTGACGGAAATCTTAGATTCAAGTCTATGAACCGGCTCTTGCAGGCTCACCCGGAGTCGACGCGTCCGGTCATTGATAAAGTCTTCTCGTTTGAAGAAGTGATTGATGCGTATGCGCACTTGGAGAGCCAAGAGCATGTTGGGAAGGTGGTTATACATGTCGTTCCCGCGTAATGTGCAGACAGAGAATTTAACGGATCCTTGACAATGTATCTCGCCCCATCTGTTTGGTATAATATTGAACATACGAAGGCAAATACAAGGTTTCCCGGCATTGCAATTTCGAGCTGGAGGATAGGATGGCTGGAAGGTCTCATCTGGACAGAACCGCATTCCTGGTCCTCTACTGCAGGACCTGGAGTCGTGCCACATCGCTTGGTAGACGCTTGAAGATGATACAGCCATTCCCCCCATTTGCTACCCTAACACTGATCATCATTCTTGTCCTGCCTGTTTGTCGTCGTGCTGCTGACGAGCGAGGATTTTGGAGATATCTATGTTAGAAACACCATCGGATGAGAGCAGGGGGTTGGCATTCAGCAACGGAGGGAAATCGTCTTCGGTATGGAATTGTAGTCTGGCAATATGGATGAAGATAATATTTATATACAAGTACACTCCAGATGATGTCTTTGGTAGTATATTGGTTAGTGCACGCGCCTGTCATACGTTGATACTCCCTATCCTTCGCGCGAGAGCTGGGTTCGACTCCCAACCAAAGAGTATAGTGCCTATGGAGTATCCTCTTTTATATTTTTTTTATGTCTTCTGGATGAGAACATTGAGATTCTGAGAAGTTCACTGTCCGATCACTTTCGCATTTGGCATGTACCTACTGTGCAGTTTGCAGTGCCCATTATTCAAACGGAGGCCAGTAGTAATTGTAAATACTATTTATTGTATGCCTTCCCATAGCGCAGTGTATACATTTTGGAAAGGACCACCTCCAGAAGGCTGGCATAAAAATGACCAAGAACCGATCCGTCAACTTGAAATAATCGGTCCGTCTCTTAGAATCTCAACCTCGAATGTACTCTCTCTCTCAAAGTCCACTGCCATCTTCCTCTCCTCCAGATACGGGGACTTTTCAGTAGAGGAGTTACACCGCGAAAGGGGAGTGGGCGAGAGAGGGTGGTAGTCGATACTAGAATATAGAGACCCAGACGCGTCTGTTGCGTGGGAACCACCAGCGTTTCTTTTTCACCAGCTACCAACAGCGTCGAGCCCGCGATGGATGCTGACTTTCACACCCAGGAATTCTCCTCTTATTCAAAACTCCTCATGATTTCTGCATTATCGTATCCATTGGTCCGTCATGCACTCACAGGAATGCCGAATCGCGGTTTCTTCTTTGATGAGGTACGTACACTTGGATGTTTTTTTCACTCTTGGCTCACCCACCGTAGCCATCGTAGGCCCGGATAACTCGAATGTGTGAAGACAGAACGTTGGTCGTAACAGTTTTTGCTCCATGCAGGAGGCTGCCGGGGCCGGAACGCTGACCACGCAACGTCGTTGAACAGTGCCTCCCTCTTTCCCATAGGGCTAAACAGCATCCTCTATGGCCATCCACCCATGGACGACCGCAGATGGATAGTAGACGGGAAATGTCCTTGGACGATGTTCAATCTTTGTAGGAGCTGTAGGCTAGCATGGTGAGCACGCTCCTATCCTCGTCAGCATACAATTAATGAGCTGCCCGTTTAGCATGCGAAGGAATCCTGGTTCAGGTCTGTCAATTCAACACAGCCACGATGTGTGGAGACATCGTTTCTTTGCCAACGTCAATGTACAATCGAAAGATCGGCGTTGGAGCGCATATGCCAGCCATCAAGACTATCTCGTCGTGACCCTTCCTCAAGAAACTCGATGTATGCGCCCTTGCGAAGCGTGATCCTCGTCTTGATCATGTACCAGTCGTGATGTAACTGTTCCTCGACGCACTCCCGGGTTTGGACGACACCCGCCTCGTCTGCTTGCTGCCCCCGATGTAAGTTCATTGACCTTCGAGATTGCGAGCTAATGGGAGATTGAACAGACCTCAGCACGGTACCGAAGACCTAGTCTTTTATACGTAAAACTTTCTGGATATTGCTGCATGGCAACAACAAAGGCTGCAGGGAGTTTCCGAGGTATTTTATTCTCGGCGTTCGTTTTTTGGGATCTAAACAAGGCCTTTTAGCAACATTGCACTCCTCCTCGAGAATGACGCGGGTTCCATGGCAGAGAACTACACCTCAAGCGAAGGGCCTTACGTAAACAAAGACGAAAATTTTAGGATGACGTTGGCATCATGAAGCGCAACCTCCGGGTATGACCGGTGCTTTCTTATTCTCATCGTTTTACTTAGGACAAACTCTGTGCTCGTATTCGCGATGTCTCCTAAAGATATTCCCTTCTTCAGCAGAAACAAGAGCGTTCAGCGAACGCTGTCCATATCGCGATGAGCGTTATTTTATAGTCGTGCACCAGAGATGATCAATAATCATAGCGCATGGACACTGGAGCCTACGCAAGAGGATTTGGGTCAGCGATAGTGATTACCGTGTACTGCCATCTGCTCTGGTAGTATATCAGCTAGCTTACGCGTGCTAGTTCAGTGCTATGGGTTCGACTCCTATCCAGAGAAATGCGCCGAACATCCATGGTTTTTTTTGTTCCGTTCGCTGGGTTCCCGAATGATACCCTCTAACCGTTAACATTGGGTTCGCTCAAAAGGGATTTTCTTTCTCTTCACAGCGTTTTTTTTTTTTTCAATCTGACAAGGACACTCTTTACTTGCATCGTAACACACCTTCAGGATTTCACACAAGCAGGCTACGAGTTCCGTGACTTCGAAAGGCATTATGCGAACCAATGAGAGAGTTTTGAAGTCCCTTACGAATACAACGAGGTTTATGAAGTCCAACGGTAGTGCATTGATCAACACGTACGCATTTCGTCCATAGGCACGGGAAATTCGTGAAGCTGTATGGTCGACATATGGTGATTCTTATACTCTCCACGCTTGGAAGGAGGAATTAGGTAGAAGGGTTTGGACTTTGCTAATGGGTAAGTGCGTATATAATACAATGGCTAAGTCAAAAGTCTAGGATCGTTCGGGATAGGGAGACCGGGCAACGACGATCGATCATAAATATCTCGAAATCGGAATCTCGGATGGGCCAGATCACTGGTACTGTCGAGGGAGTGGTCAGCAGCGAGTATTTCTTGACGCCAATATTTCGCGAGGAATGTAGCGGTGGCGAGAGATTTCACATCGATTATTCGATATCAAGGTCCCGAGCTGCGGGTCCTTTGAGGCCAAGATCAGGTTTTCCACACTGGCAGGCCAGTGAGAAATTCACAGAATTTGAACACGTATGATCCGAGACGTCTAGTAATCTGCGTGCAGGGAGGCAAGCCTGATATGGTCATGACCAGAGGGAAAAATATAACACCCGAAGCTAGATTTAATATTTATGAATATTGGTATTCAGAACCTTGGCCTGGTAGTATCCTTGAAAGAATCCAACCTTAGCTGCAAGCTGCGAATATACTACGAGAGACTGAACTTAGTGGTGGGTATAAGCACAATGTGGAACCGGGAGCTTAGAATTGACGTACACTTGCTTGAAGCCGGTGTATCCAGGCCGATTGTCAATTTGAACATGGGAGACGCGTTTGTGGCGTGGGAATTGGATAACCAGCTTGCCATTTAGGGCTAGCTCCGTCACGCGTCAACGTTCAATGCAACGACCACGAGGAGGTTGACAAGCCTACGATGGTCCGGTCACTGTACCCAAAATTCGGAGTCCTCAACACTCTCTTAATTTTCTGCTTTATCTTCAAATCTCTTGGTACGATGTCGCAGAAAAGTGCTCTATGTACTTTTCGTCCTTTTCTTCGTCTACTTGCACGCATTTATCTCGGCCTGGGTATAGAGAGCCACTATGATTTTATTGTGGAAAATAGTGCTGGGCGAGAATTGTGGTGGCGTTGCAGGTGTGTTCGATTCTCATTGTTGTACTTATGGTACTCATGCAGTCTGAAAGCTTGTGTGAGCATGCCTGCCAGTTTTCGGTACCTGATACTTGGTCGGTTTGACAATGACAATAACGATGAACAGACTACAGTGCCCTGGTTGCATCCTTACTGCATGGGGAAGACACCTATTTCGCGGGCGTCTGCGCGATGTAAGACGTCGCCTATCATGTGGTAGATTACCGTGGCGCCCGTCGATAACAAGCGGGATTTGTTCAAAAAACCTATCGGGACTTCCTGGTACGACCTGTACCTCTGCGTATCCTTTATTGTTCTCATCGCTATCACACACATTCTAGGCGCATATGCCAATGAAAATATGACCGCCTTCAACCGCCAGATTTCCTTTGGGGTCATGTACGAACCTGAGTATAGGGATGACATCTGCTCGTCTATGTTAGAGGACGATGACCGGCTTTCAAGTTGCTTACAAGCAGATTACGCCAGTCATGTTCGGTGAATTTATCGGGTTTCCCCGAACCGCGAGAAGCTGCTCAGTGATATGTATCACTGGCCTTCTCAGTACCCCCGATTCATTATTGATCGTCTCCAATGAAATTGTGCGGACGTTGATGATTTTTCAAGATACAGGGCTGACGGCTTAAGATTTTTGCGTGGTATTCTCTCAGCGTCGTGGGAATGAAAGTGTTATGGATCTCGTGTCTTTTCCGGTCTGCACATGAGTCAACACATGCCTACTCTCGGCCTTCTCGGCCTTGACCTCGGCTTACTGGTATTTTCTATCATTTTCTCTTACTTTCTCTTACTTTCTCCTTCCTTCTTGCGAATACTAGAATAATAATGACTCGATTCCTTACTAGTGGTATATAAGTATTGTACTTGCCATTGTATTGGAATCTTAACCTTATTTTACTCATCTTCAAAGTCCACTTAACTGTGTGAACTAAGCATCTCTGATCGGTTACACCAAGCGCTTGCCAATCAATTGCTTCCCGACTACGCCTAGCGCTTTTCGGAAACCCTGTCAGTTACGCCTAGCGCTTGCTGACGCCCTCATTAATTACGCCTAGCGCTTGTTAACACCCTTACGGATCCCTCTTGGTGGTTGGAACTCGGCTTTCGGACATCCTCGCTCACGACTTGGGTTTTACTCGAGTATTCTTCAACTCGTGTATTAGCTCAAATACCCTGATTCTTAACAGAAAGCTAATGCATCTGTAGTACGTGCCATGCTTTATCATGTGACACGTTTAACAGACGTTGTGCCAGGATATTTAAAAGGCACCACGGTGCTACATTATGGGCTCGAGGAACGTGCACGAGTCATCAAAATGTAATTCTTGAACTTCATTTTCAAAATTTGCTAATACGTACGCTTGGTAAGATGTATAGTGTGAACATAGTGTTCTTCGCGTCAAGTTTCTCTCACTTCTTGGCTGCAATCATAAACTTTTCAGCTGTCCAGCGTGTCTGTGGATTCGCGTCCATCAACGTTCAATGCGATATTACGAGCTTCATAGACTCAACCACGCTATGTTCCTATTTTCTGGAAGTATATTGGTTGGCACGCGTACAAGCGACAGCTGGGTTCGACTCCCACTCAGAAAGTTGGTTCAATCATTATTCTAGACATTTTTTCTCGCCCATCGGAGCTAATCCTCCGTGGCTCTGCAATGCGAGATACCCAAGTTGTCTGCCACCTCGCTCATCATCAATCAGGTGGACTACAGTTCCGCGGCACCCCATACAAAAATCTTTGCGCGTTGAATGGATGCGACAGTTGCCGGATGACATTGGCGTCATGGAACGAAACTCCCTGGTATGACCTGTGTCTCCTTGTACCCTTTTACTCTCGCCACCCTCGCACATCTTTTAGGAAGATATAACCGCATGTAACCAACCACAGAAGCTTTTCGTTAGGGCCATGACGAAACCTGAAAACAAGGAGATATGACATTAAATTTGACTCGCCTATGTTGGAGGACGATGATTTGGTCATCAGGTCCGTTACAACCAGATTTGCCTGGTCATGTATCATGTTTGATGGAATTCATCAGGTTTTCTTGTCTCCCTAGTACCTATGATCCGTTATTGATCATCCCCAACTAAATTGTAAGTGCACATGTTCCTGGTCGGTACTGTTAAGCTAATGTCGATGATATTTTAGGATACACAACTGAGAAGTTCTTCAGTATCAACATTTGCTTCGTACCAAGCTTCTGCCTCTCTGATCATGAGTTTTTCAGCTGTGCAGCGGCTGGACGGTCTGGGTTCAAGTCCTCCGACGTTCGAGGATGGGACCGGAGCCAGGAGTCTGGCGGTCTGGACCAGTCCTATTCACTTCAAGTCCTAACATTATCCAATCCATCCCCGCTGCTACGACATGAGCGTATAAGCGCTAAAGTTCTGTTTGTCTTTTGGCATCTTTAAATGTTCCGTGTGATTCTGTCACTGATGGAATGAAGGGAGGTGTTGTACCTTACGTGGGAAGATGAGTCGAAGTCCCACTGCTCCATTTGTTTCTTCTCCTGTCAGCGAGGGCTAAATATAGTGACAGTACACATTCACGAGAGACCTCTAGTCTTGGCTTAGTTGTCTATCGCACTCCATTGGATGTAGGGAAGCAGAGCCACGAAGTACAAAGCCCAGTCCGATACTGCATCACTAGCACCGCCATGCACGATAACGTACACGCATACGGGTAGACACAATATTCACCGCGCCTTGGGGAAGAAGGACAGACTGTATACCGGGATGTCGTTAAGTGCGCGTACTAAAAATAGAGAGCTCAATTTGATGAGGAGTCAAACCGAAGTTTGTGGGTTAATCATGATCATTAGCAACACTTGCGGCAGTACCTTCAGGCATACCGGATACAAGGATACAAGCAGCAGCATTACAAAGCTTGAACCGTACTTCTATCCAGCCCTCAAGCCGAGCTCTGGACTGAGAACTCTGAGAAAACGTATGTCATCATAGAACTTGAGCATCTATAGACGGGAAATCCACAATCAGTAACAGACCCTAATCGTCTAACCTCCACAAACACGGGTGCCGCATGAAATATCCTCAAAACAGACCACCAATTTTGCGACTGTGGTTATTACTTCCGATTATACTGGAGCAGCTTCTTTGATAAACCCTCCCTCTCACACTGCCTAAATTAGCAACAAGATGTTTATCGAGTGTCTCATTAACCAAAATACCGGCATAAGCTATACAACTCGGGGTTAGGGACCAAGTTTGCTAGAGGTTGATGTCAATTGGTCAGCGCATCTGGCGCCACCATTGTGCACAGATTAGCTGCGCATCCAGAATATATTGTGATCTTCCAAACCGAGGTAGAATCAGTCATTGTGGGAAAAGGCAGAAGTTTTATGTATGCCTCAGAGCATTGATTGCATGTCTATGAGCATCTCTTCTCAAGGTGGTCCATTTCGGCTGGCATCCTTATTTCAGATCACGCTTTTATTGGGAGCTTTGTGCTTTGTTTGTGCTAGGCTCCCTGCTGACTCCGTAACATGCACGGGTTGCCTGAACCCACAACGCGTCAACTCAAACTCAGGGTTCGATGATGGATTGATCTCTGATCGAAAGGAGATCTGTAATCGTCGAACCCGATCGCCAGGAGCAATAAGTATTAAGTCGGTGGGGTGTTGTTATTAGGGAATCCACTGTATACGGCGAAAGTGTATAAAATGCTTGCGTGTTGTACTTCTCTCAGTTGCAACCTCCACCATCTGTTCCAGCCTTTATTCCTCTTCTGCGCCAATGTTGCCGAATTGTATGCCATTTCTTTTACAACTGCTTTGGCCTTGGCATTGTCACATGACATGCAGTGTCCATGCACAGACCAAAGCGGTAAGTAATACTTTAGAACTTTGACTCCCTTCCTCTCCACTGACTCGTCTTTTAACCTTGGATAGGCTGCGTTATCGGAAGAGCCTCATATCAACCGCCTTCGGTATTGGTATGCTCAGCAGAAGCTTCCGGTTAAACTGGAAGTGTGTCCTTCCTCTCCAGGTGTACGTCATAGCCTCAAGGATTGTATTTGATGTTGATTGGTAGCATTTTAGCACCCATACCGTGTTGACGCTTCTCGATTCTATGCTGTCCTCATTGGTATCGATGCGTATGCTTCCTACTCGTTGCACGGTTGTGTATCAGATGTACTTTTGATGGAGAAGTACTTGACCGAGGACCTCGGTGTTCCCAAAGATCGCATCCAGCTAATGGTCGGATCCAAGGAGCATGCATCCCCTAAAGATCCAATGAACCCCTCCCGTGTTCACATCATCAACGCCCTTCTCGGTCTCATTACCCACTCCGAGATCGCGTACGGCGACAATATTGTCGTTTACTTCTCAGGCCATGGCTCATACCACCCACCGGAGGAAGATGACGATGAATATATAGAAACGCTGTGCCCCATCGATCGCGATATTTTGGATGCCAACGGTGCCAATCCCGTTCCCGACATCAGTGATCGCGAATTCAACACCATCCTACGTCTGATATCTCAGGCAAAGGGACCTCGTATCACCGTCATTCTTGACTGTTGTCACTCGGGTGGGGCCAGCAGAAGTTTACCAGAGCCGGGAGCGCGCGTTGCTCCACCAATGAGGCACGCCACGCGTCAGGAAATGCTCCTCGCTGGTGACAAACAGCTGAGGGGTTATCCTGGCTATCGCTCCATCTTAGGTGATTGGCACCCGGACATGAACTCCCACGTTGTCTTGGCAGCCTGTATGGACTGTCAGTTTGCAAAGGCGAAGAAGGTCCAAAGGGAAGACGGTACGACAGGGTACATCGGAATTTTCACGGATTCGCTTGTGCGTGCTCTCCGGTCCGGCTGTTGGAAGAAAGAAACGACATACGCTGATCTCGTTCATTGTTTGGATAAGGCGTCTCACCAGACGCCGGTTGTTGCTGGAAAACGCAAGGATGCGCGTCTCTGGCATCAGGAATGAAGTATTATGAGCCATTCATTCTTGCCTTGGCCCTTCTGAATCGTATATGGATTGTTGTGTACAAGATGTATGTTACGAAGAGTGTTCCAATTGTATTCATATCACCTTATTTCAGCTTATTGTCTTTATTACACGCTTGGAGGGAAACCGCATCGATGAAGAGATGAAGCCGGACGATACTGCCTTCTGGCTGTTGCAGGGAGGATCGTACAACGACCAGTGAGATCATGTTCGAATCAGCGTTGAACAGACGATGTCAGTTAAGCTGGGTGAGAAGAATGATGCGAATCACCGTCCCCCATACCCACGGAGAACTGAATACGCGTCTCCGTTATTAATATATTCACATCACGCCAACACCAAGTATATCCTTCTTTACAAGCACAAGGCTTCCATACGAATCACTTGCTGCGTTGAAGGTATGGAGAAGCATGTAGCGGAAGTTCGGAGGAAGAGACAAAGTCGCTGCAACAAGGACACGCGCCGTGGATTTAAGAAAGTTAACAGTTCGGCAGTGTCCGGGTCAGAGGTCCATGGCCTTCTTTGATGATGTACCTGAGACAGTCCCGTATGTAAGGGTGATGGGGCTCGACAAAGGTTTTTTGAGAATCGCACACTTCACAGATGATGATGGTCATGATAGCAAGAGGAGGATATGAATTTGGACGACGCGTCAGCTGTGCTGAATCACGTGGTGCGTGCGACTGCCGTTTCGAACTTTTCCCGAAGCTTACGACGTCCACAAAGTGGGTCCCACCAATGATGGCGCACCACGAAGATCTCAACCGACATCTAGCCGGCAGCGCGCTGCACCTCTATAGCCCGTCCTTCCCCCATGGCAGCCTGTTCAAGGGTTCTTTGCTTCATGACCAACGCATGGAAAAAATACTACTAGATGGACGAGCGACCGCCTTCGATGAATTTGACGTCCGCCAGCCAGGAGGACCGTAGAGGGCCGTACGGATAGACTTCTCGTTTCTATCCCTACATCGTGAAGATCGGGCAGGATGAAGACAAATCCAGTATGCGACGGAAGAAATGTTTCGACCTGAGGCTCGGTGTGGTGTTTCCTTCAGCTCGCTCTTTTTGCCTCCCTCATGAAATCATTTCTGTTCAGCCTTTCTAACTCTACGGTTTACAAGCTCTGCGTCAGTTTTCTCTCTCCCCTCACTATAACGACTAGCCGGCATGCTTTCCCTCGAAGCTCCCAGCAACGTGACGCTCCCTTTTCAACTCGTCATTCTCCGTTCGAGATTCATTTGGGTTTTTCTTCTCGATCAGCGAACGCCGTACCGAGCCATTGAAGAATGCGAGGGCCAACTTCCTTCTTTCCTGTTTCTACCATGGACTGGATCAGAGCTTGGTGTGTGTTCTATCTATTCTTTTCTTACTGCTCTTCCTCATAACTTTATCTTTGATCGGCCCCAACAGCCTTGAAACATTCTGGCGGCCGGCTTATGCTCACGGGTAGAAGGGAAGGAGAGATCAGAAGAGCAGGGAGAAGGGTGGCAGGCAGGCCGACATCCAAGCGAAGGCAATTCGGATTCGGGTAGCATGGATGATGGTATGTAGTGAACGACCTAGGTACCTCAATCCATGCTTATATCCCGAAGCACTCGCAGTCGAGGCATGAACCAAGGTCGTATTCATGCCAGGTGCTCCTCTGGCATTACGGCTTATTCAAATGCAAGTACCAAAGCCGACGACGAGGGTCCAGCCCGCAAGGCAAAAACTGGAGGCAAAGAGCAAGTGGCTTGTCCTCCGTCACTACGAACTATATCCTTCCATTTGCTTCCGCGGAAAAGTCTTCGGGAGGCGCCTCGGTCAGAGAACTTGACTTGATATTTCCCGCTCACCTAAGACACGATGACGACCATATGATTATCCGGTGCTTTCCTTTAGTTCATGAACCACTTTCCCGGCAGTTCACATTCAGTCCTCCCGTTCACCATCCTTTTCCGGGCGCTTGGGTTTTGCTTTATGACTAAAGTACGGCCAGGCGGACGAGCGAATGCTTTCCTGACTGCCAAACGCCGGGCCTATCACGTCGTCCTGTGTAGTTCAATATGCGGTTGAGGAAACGTTTCAGCTCGTAGTTCGGTATGTGTTTTCTTCAATGCGTTCTGTCTGCCTTCCTTATAAACCAGCCGTTCGAAGGGAGCAGGGAGCAGGGGTTGACATGCGACTGTGCGCTGCGTCTCGCTCCTTTCCTAAATAGCCGCCAAGGGCCGTACCATTCTCTGCATCACCGTGTCCTCGTCACCCTGTATGGCGAGGAACCCCTCATTCCAACTTGTCATACCGAATAACGCCCGCTTTCCGAAGTCGCCTCAGCTAGCTGGAGAGCAAGCAGAAGAGACGGTTTGGGTATTGCTGGATGCGATGAACGGCCTGGATCCTGCCATTCAAGCTCATGATATTGTCCTCTCTCACAGAGACATAATATCGCCAGTGCTCCGCTATCCGGACGGCTTCTCCAAACAAAAGGATCTCGTCACAATGATGCGTCCAGCACTAAAAGACAAAATCGATTTGTCCTCCCTCAGCCAGAATTATAGCTGCGTCGCCTCGGTCTGCCTGGAGGGCTTCGCAGCGTTTGAACTTTTTTGCTATTCCGTTCTCTCACTTTGCTACTACAGTATCCTTGATTATCTCGAGCGCCTGTCAACGGTTGGAGCATTGCCCGCGGAGGCACCGTCTCAATCAGTTTTCATACAACTGTGTATTTCTTCCTTTCTGACTGTGTTCAAAGTCTAGCTATGACCCACTGATCCGTTTTCGAGATGATCAGATTCTTTTAGTAGGCAGATGGAGCTGACAGGAAATTCATTCCCAGATCGGAGATCACAACTTATAGTTGTCCCTTGATAGTCTAGCGGTTATCTCGTGGGCCTTTTGTCTTCCTGGAACAGACCTACTTTTTTGGTCGTGGTATGCTACTATTAGTGTGAAAAGGATCAGTGTGCTGGACTGTCTCGTTTTTCGGTCGTCGGGCGTCGGGGTGCCTTGCTACTATTTTATTTGTGGTACTAACAGTGCCTTCCGGTAGTCCGATGGCAATACCATCACCGCAAGACCTGGGTTCAAGTCCCGATCGGACAATGTGATTGAACATAAGAGGAGTTTTTGATCGCGATTGGGTTCATTGGTCGTTAGTAAGTTTAAGATCTGTCTTGTGCTTGGATTTGGTAGGTAATTTCTTGTGATACCCGAATTCATTGTGTAGTCTACGGAAATTGCCGGTATCCTGGTAGTCTAGCGGTATTGTGTCGGCGCTGGGTTCGAGTCCCGACCAGAGATATTCACAGTGAGAAGCATGAGATATTTTTTGAGTACGACCTGTTCCGTCATGCCATGAAGTGTGTAGGAGAGATGTGCGATCTACCTACACGGGCTTGATGTTTGTTTTATTCATACTTGAATTAGCATCAACGTTTATGTAAATAGCCAGCCATGAAATCTATGAAGCGATATCCTCTCGCTTTCAGCTATGATAACTAACTCATCCCCTAGCTGTGCAGAGATTAAGAATTACCATGTAGTATGAGGTTCGAGCCAAGAGTATAATCAGGGATTTGATACTTTAGGCAGAGATTTTTATGAGCTCGGTCGCGGTTTGTTAACGTAATAAATTCATCGAATAGGTAGGCGTGTATGCGTTTACGATGACAAAGACAAATGCATAGGGTCGTACTACATCCCACACATAAGATACAGTCGAGAGCGAATACGATATGAAAGCATACGTTTCCGGGGTCAGCGTCAGGTGAGGGGATGTATGAGCTCACGCAGTAGAGTTAGCGTTACACAGATGACGTCAATTTTAGCAGGGGCAGAAGAATGACGCGACTTCACTGTGTTCCACACCTGCAGAGAACCGAACACGCGCCTCTAGCCCCTAGCGCATCCACAAACTCCTAACACCGTCCCATGAGGCAGCATCTGTCCTCAAAGCACAAGGCTTCCCATTGCGACATACATTTTATACGTACCACGAGTGGACCACCATGGCAAAGTCGCTGCGACAAGGATATAAGGAATAGGTTTAGAAAAAAAGTGACATGGTGCTCACCCGGAGACATCACACTGGTCCGAGTCAGGACGGCATATAGCAGTCATCGTCCCATGCAGCGAGCCCGACATCCTTGGGCTTCTTCGACGAGGCACCCGAGGCAGTCCTGCCAGTATACAAGGGTGATGATCTCCACGTATATTTCTTGAGAGTCGACTCCACAGACCAGGATGGCCATGGTGGTGAGAGATGATGGGAAATGGGATTTGCCAAATGACTGACAGTGACGCGTCACTGTTCTGTTGAATCACGTGGTACGTGCGACTGCCGTTTTCGAGCTAAGCCCGACGTCCACGGCACCAGTTGATTCTTCGCAGGTCCACGTTCCACCTCCAAGCGCCCAAGACGAAATAGAATTGGAAGCCATTGCTCCCGACCTGTTAGCGTAGCCCAACCGTGCTCGAGTCACAGATATCCACTATCCGGAAAGTAGCGGACAGAATAGGTCGTTGGGAACGAGATCTGCAGGCATGAGAGAGCCGGTACTAGTACGTGGCTTTGGCTTTGTTTTCACGTTCAGCGGTTGATTACCGCAGGTCGACAGTGCTCCACAAACCTCGTTTGGGACCTATCAGCATATCCCACTCACAAGCACGCCACAAAAATTTCAACGACGCTATGAACCGTTTTATCATCTAGCCGGCAGCGCGCTGCACCTATACAGCTCATCTTTCCCGCTCCGCATCCTTTTCTAGGGTGCTTTGGTCCCCTGCTTCATAACCAATGCACGGAAGAATATCACTAGATTGACGAGCGAACGCCACCCTGACCAGATGGATTCGGTAACCGCCAGGAAGGAGGACCATAGACAGACGGACGGGCTTCCCGTTTCATGCACATGTTTTGAGACCGGCACCGTCGGCTGCATAAATTCAGTATGCGATGGCGGATGGAGGAAGCGTTGCAACTTGAGCTTGAGCTTGAGGCCTTGAGGCTCGGTATGTGTTTTCTTCAGCCCGCTCCCTTTGCTTTCCTCCTTAAATCATTTGTTCAGCCCCTCCAACCCCACGCTCGTCATATTCGTCACCCTCTGAGATCTGAGCTTTGTGCGTAACTTTAATGTTGCTCTCTCGCTTTTCTCACTATAACGGTTAGCCGGCATGCTTCTTCTCAGAGCCTCACAAAGTTCTCGACGATCGTTTCTGCCTGTTCCTCCCTGTTCGATATCCCTTTCAGATACTCAGGGTTTTTGCTTTACGACCAGCGATATATGTGACCAAATCTACACCCGAGCCAAGAGTTGCGTAGGAACCAACTTCCTTCCTGTGTCTGCCATGGCACCGTACCTGTGTGAATTGGCTTGTCAAGACTGAGAAGACTATCTCGTCTGCGTACGTTTCAGCCTGTGTGCTGAATGAGAACTCGGTTGTCTTTTCTTCAACGCGTTCTTATTGCTTTCTCCCGTAAAATCGGTTATTATTTCATATCGCGATGGACATTTATTGATGCGTAATGTATAATTACTCTCTAGTAGTATATCAGCTACTGTGGGCGTCTGTCATATTGCTAGTTCAGTGATACGCTGGAGAGCTAGGTTCGACTCCTTGCCAGAGAGTTTAGCAGGAGGCATAAATTTTTTTTGTGCCCTGTGCAGTGTGATTGATGGCTTAAAGATTGTGTAGGGCTGCGCACAAGACCTCCAGCGAAGGGAGGTAAATTAATTACCAGTCCGAAACCCCAGGGTTTCGTGGTATTGGGCGCTTGACTCAGACCATCAGACAATTGTTGCCATAACACAGCCAGAAAGTAAAGGCACTCGGTTGACCGGGCCGATTCCGTGCCTCTCTCTCTCCTTTCACCACCCAACTCCGTATGCGAATAGCGACTCTGGAAACGTCAGCCCTTGCAAGGGAAGCACTCTTTGGATTTGATAGGTGTATTTGATCATATATCACTGTGTTTTAGCCCAACAAGATGATGGGGAATCGAGTCAAGATGGGTGCAGCAGGGACATTGAGTCGTAGGCTCTCTTGATATTATAATGAACCCCTGTAGATGCAATGACTAAATACCATCGGATTCATGTTACCGGTGGGGGCCAGTCAATGCATTTTAACTCCCCCGGGATGTAATACTTGAATGGTTGTCGTTTCGTTGCATCTAACTCTCATTTTTAACAAAGGTCTGTATTTCTAGGACGATATGATCATGATCTCGCAAACGTCATACAAGTACATGCACCCATAGCGTTAGTAACTCCGTAAACTGCATACAAATGATCAGGCATATTTTTACGCAGATAGTAGGTTTTCACTGATGGTGTTCCCAGCTAGATGCATACACTGAGAAGAATCTACATTATTTCACCTTTAAGCTGAAGTAAGTACAACAATTTTCGCAGTTGTTATTATGTGTTAACGTTTGAATAATAGGCGTCCGTTCGCTGGTCGTCAGTGCTTTTCAGGCGACTTGCATAGGAATGCCATTACTTTTTAAAACGAAGGTCCGATTACAGGTCCGAGTCTTGGTTAGTGCCCAAAGCCACGTTAGCGTACTGCTATCGATTCCAGCAACACCGCGAAACCAGCGCTTTCCAGTGTAAGTTCCCTCTTCTGGGCCATTTCGCATGTCTTCGTCTTTCATACGGGGCCATGGAACGAGGAGACGGGCACCGAAGCTGAAGCATGGACAAGCAGCGTCGAACCTGTCTTTGCTCTCGGACTCTGCTCACCCTACAAGTGCTCTTCTGCATGGCAAGAGATTTGAACAGCCAATGTTCTCACCCAGAGGAGACTTGTCGTGTATGTGTGGTCAACGCTTCCTTCGGACGTGATTGGTTCTCCAAGATAAATAATCACTACTGAGGCGATTCTGTAACCTCAGTCTGGTGAGTCTCTATCCTTTTATCCCTTACATGTCCTTTGGCTGTTAATATCGCTTCAATGTCACAGACAGGATGACGTTATACTATTCGTGGATGCATTGGGTAAGTCCAAGTTCAGTCACTGAGACTACATTAAATCTGACCGTGCCAGAATTCAATACAAGCGCAATGAGACGAGGGTGTAGAAGACGCCTAAGCTTCTTTCGGCTGTGGTCCACCATGAGGTCGGAAGAGACATCAGCCGGTATTGAATTACGGTAAGCGTTACCGGCGCCTCTCCATGTCTGCTGATGGTTCATATGTAGAGACTGCCGTAAACCTCATTCAAACGAGACTGGAGCACCCTTACTGTCACGAAAGCTGACGACCTGAAGGGGGTACCTGATACAGGTAGAATGAAGATGAAATTGGTAAAAATGCACGTCAAGGTGGATTTCCGTGACCGTTGGCAACTGCAAAGGCTAACTTCTCCTTGGATGACGCTATAGTATAAAGATGCTGAAACGAATCCTGGTTTTGATTCTGACCCTGCACCCTGGTCTTTGCATCACATAACCACCAGGCTGTCGCTTCCCATGGTCCTCTTTGTTTTCGTCCTACTTATTCTATGCAACATTGCGCTTGGCGCCATATATGGAAGCATCGATGATCTTCCCACTAGACGTTTCCATTATATTATCATTGGAGGTCCGTGCGGCAAGAAATCAACGCTTCTCGCTAACGTCATGTTTAAGGTGGGGGGGCCGGGAACGTACTCGCCAACCGTCTAACTGAGGACTCCCATATATCGGTCCTTGTTCTCGAGGCTGGCGAATCGTGAGTACGCCAAAGTCTCTGAATACGTTCAACGCTGGATGATCGTAAGTATAGAACAGCAGACGTCCTCCTCTCACAGGTTCCTTTCTTCTCTTCCCGCCTAAGTGGGTCATCTCTGGATTGGAACTTCACTACTACGGAACAGCCAGGGCTGAATGGACGATCCATTCCGTTCTCTCGAGGATTCGGGTTGGGGGGGAGTAGTGCCATCAGTAGGTCAGATTACTTCTACATGATGATTAAACTGATGTGTTCCCAGACGGTATGTCTTACATCCGTGGTTCGTCACAGGATTACGACCGTTACGCCCGGGTTAGTGGAGACCCCGGATGGGCATGGGATCAGATGCAGCGGTATCTCCGGAAGGTAAGGCCGTAACCTGTCTTGCTTCACATCGTGAGGAAGCTTTCTCTGATCTTGTACAGAATGAACGCTTCGTCGCTCCTGCTGACCACCATAATACTACCGGACAGTTCGATCCTAAGGTCCACGGCTTCAATGGAATCACGTTTGTCTCTCTTCCCGGGTACCCTCGCGCTACAGATGAGCGTGTCATTCAAACGACGGCAGACCTTTCGAGCCAATTTCCCTTCAACTTGGATTACAATTCGGGATACCAGTTGGGCATCGGTAGGTCGTTAAGTATTGTTGACTGATTCAAAGGCTCCTCTGACGGTGATGATACAGGATGGGCACCCTTAACGGTGGGAAATGGTACTAGGAGCAGCTCGCAGACGTCGTATCTTGGACCGGGATACATTAATCGACCAAATCTACACGTCTTGATTCACGCTCGTGTCACCCGAATTCTTGACATAAAGAAGGGCAGAAAGCCACCGTTATTTAATGCTGTCGAGTTTACTCAGGATGCTGGAGGTACACGAACATTTATGCTCTGTGAACGCTGGCTCTTAGGTTGACTTTCTCCCTAGCAACAATGCATGTCCTGGCGCCTTCAAGCTTACGGGAAATCATCCTCTCCGCTGGATCCATTGGCACTCCGCATATACTTCTTCACTCTGGTGTAGGTGATGATAGCGAACTTGCCACTCTAGGAATCGCGTCTACTCTTAATCTTCCCGACGTCGGGAGGAACTTGTCAGACCAAGTCCTATGGACCGTTCCCTTCACCGTTAACAGCACGAACACGATCGAGAACATTTATTACAGAAACGTCACATTCCAGGAAGAGACTCTGGCAGAGTGGAAATCCAACCAAACAGGTTTCTTGACAGTGAGTGTGGCAAATCAGCGAGGGTTCTTTCGTATTCCAGAAGATACTGGTGTATTGGATGGAGAGCCATGTGCGGGGAATGAGACTGCGCATTATGAGCTTTCTTTTGTGGTATGTACTAGAACGTGGTGTGGGTATCGTGAAGGCTGACTTGTTTCTTACAGAACGGTATTAATAGTAATCCTCCTCCCGAGGTGGGAAACTTTTTTGTGATTGCACCCGCTGTGCTTTGTCCTCTTTCACGTAAGCAGTGTTATTTGTCGGCAGAAGCGGTAGTCTGACGAGATTTACTTAGGTGGGGCCGTTACTATCAATAGCACGAACCCTTTGGATGCACCGGTGATCAACCCGAATTATCTCTCGCATGCACAAGATCTTGATATTATGAAATTCGCCGTAGAAGGTGCGAAGAAGTTTGTCACTGGTCCTGCATGGGATGGATACATTCTTGATATCGCGACGAATACTACGGATCAGGATATTAGGAATGGGGCATCGAATCTGAATCATGCTGTGGGTACTGCAAGTATGTCCCCTGTTGGTGCAGATTGGGGAGTCGTAGACCCGGATTTGAGGATGAAGGGTGCGAGGGGGGTGAGGATCGCAGACGCGTCGGTTTTGGTGGGAGTTTTTGTTTTCTGATGTTTTGCTCTGGTGGACTGACCGGACTCAGCCGTTTGTTCCAGCAGGACATACTCAGACAGCGGTGTATATCTTTGCGGAGAGAGCGGCGGATTTGATCAAAGCTAGTGCTGGAATGTAGGGATACATTTTCTGCTTGAGCTTGAATTTGGAGTGATATTGAAGGACTTAAAGGTAGCTTTTCGTGTTTGGTTGCTTCATTAAGATTGAGATGGATGCGAGTGGTAGCTTTCCAAGAGACAAACAAGTAAATGCGCAAGAAGTGTACTGTAATGGTACCTGTACTTTCGGCGGTCAACGTCAAATCCGTCACAAATACAACCAACTTGATGAGCCAACAATTAAATGCCGCTAGTCTCTGGTGACGCAGCGGTGTTTACTGTCATCAGGACTCCATGGCGTGAAAGCCGAGTTTGATTTCCGACAGGGTCAATAATCAGGCGAATTCTCCTGAAAAGCCTTTTTATGCTCCTCCGTCGTCCATTCCATTGCAGTGTGAACAATTATTATGCCAATAACCGTCCATGCCTACCGCCTACTGTATCTACCCTCAAGTCACTTGGTTCTCCGCGATTACTTGAGGACACGTAAGCCATATCATCATTCCACTTTCGAATACAAGCCTAATATACTACTTCCCTTGCCACATATTCCTTCAAGAAGCCCGAGCATTGGCCATGAACTGCGCCTCGGTCTGGTCGGCAGTCGGGTTAATAGCGAGAGTCATGTCCAAGCGGCAGTGACCTCCGGCGGCTTGCATGCACGAGACCCAGTGAGGTTCAGTATCGAGGATCGTAGTAGTGAACGTGCTACCCGGCGCACTGACGGCGTCATGGCTAGGAGGAAGGGAAGGATATCAGCTAACGACTGGGTGACGGACGAAAGACAACCCACAATCCGCTATCGAACGCATTCGGTCCTACTCCTCCTACAGGAGGAGGGCAAGGAGAGGTGAATGTCGTAGTCGTCGCCGAATCTGTCGTATACCTTTGTGAGCCTACAAGGCAGGTGGAGGGGACAAGGTACGTACGGTTCCTGGTGAGGTAGGTGAAGTTGACAGTGTCCCCGATGGCAGGGTGGATCTCGTTCGGAGTGAACGTGAATCCGTTGTTGGCGCCCACTTGGACAGCCCAGTCCACGCCCATGACGAGGGGCGCGGCGATGAGAGCAGTAGAGATGACTCAGAGAAGACGCATTGCTGTAGAGATTTGATTCTGAATTCTGGGTTGTGGTTGGACTTTCGCGCTGCTTAAATGCTCTGAAGATGCTCTTGGTACCAGTGCGATAGTTGTTGAGCCTGGAAAAATTAGACATGGGCTTATTGTCACCAGATACCAAGAGAACGTCCTTTCAATATTCAATGGTCAGTGAACGTATATCGATGGCCTTCGTGAGTAGTGACCTGATAGGCGGGATGGAACTGTTCGTTGTTAATGAAATGAATGCATCTAAAGGGGAAGCGGAGTCTCACACCTAAATGGGTTCCTAGCTTCAGATCCCCGGTTGGTGGGAGAATACACAGTAAATGCCTCATGCTTCCCCCGGAGTACAGATTGAGCGGTTCTCGAGTGCGCGTATTGTGCGTTGATTCGATGTGGTGATCCTGAGGTGTTGCCCATAGCTGGCGAAAACGAAAGCTACTTAGACGTTAAACATTGGACGCCGGTCCCGAGACTTATTAATGGACACTCGGGCTAGGGAGACCGAGAAACGACGATTGGCCACAGATATCTCGACTGGCATGAACTCGGAATTCCGGACGGCCCAGATCACTGGTAAGGCTATAGAGGAAGTGGTAAGCATCGAGTATTTCTTGGCGCCAATATTTCGCGAGAAACGTAGCGGTGGTGAGAAATTTCACATAGATTACTCGATATCAAGGTCCTGGGCTGCGGGCCCTTCGAGGCCAAGAGCATATTTTCGACAGGCTAGTGAGAAATTGGACACGGATGATCCGAAAAGCCTGCTAATCCGCGTTTCAGTTGGTAAGCTTGATATGGTCATAACAAGAGGCAGAGGTATGAGACCCTAATCTAGACATACGCGCATTCATATTCAAGAACTTGGATTGGTCACTGGTAGTATTCAGGATTTGGAAGAATCCAAACACAGTTTCGAGTGGAAAGTATCCTACGAAAGACTGAAATCAGGACCCAGATATAGTCATAATATACAACCGAGAAATGCGAAAGTCAACGTACAATTTGTTGGAACCATTGCCGGTGTATGCAAATCGATCATCGATCTGAACATGGAGGTGGGAGACGCGTCTGTGGCGTGGGAATTCGATGGCCGTCTTGCCGTTTGCTGGCTCCGTCACGGTCACGCATCGACGTTCAATGCAACAACCACGAGCTTCACAACATACAACGCCCTGGTCGCTGTATCCAAAATTCAGAATGTTCGACGCTCTCTCTGCATTTGGTTCTATTTTGCTGTCTTGTCCTGAATTTCACGGGAGGATGTTGCAATACAGCGCTTAATGTACGTTTTCAATTTCTGGATTTTACTTCTATCTACTTACCATTATGGACTCTGTGCATATAGAGACCACCACAAGTCAGCTGCGAAAAAAAGGATTGGCCAAAGATCGTGTTCGCTTCTAATCGCTGTATGTGTGGCGCTCACATAGTCTGCAAGCTTGTAAGCATGTTTACTAGTTTTTAACCGTCAGTCGGTTCAAAAATAGCCGTAACGATGAGTGTGCTACGGCTCCCTGGTCGCATCCTTACGGTATGAGCAGAAATGCATTCGCAGGCATCTGGACGATGCAGGCCTCGCCTATCATGTCTTGGCAACAAACGGGATTTGTTCAAGAAAAGATTCCGGGAGCTGTCGTAGAGGTAATTCTCTTCAACTTTCTAACCTGAGATCTAATCAAACTTTTAGCGCCTCTGTGCTTTCCTCAATCAACTGGACGAACGGCATCAAGCGATACCTCAAAAGAAAGACTTTACGTGAACGAATGTGACAGCGGCAGGATAACCTTGTTGTCATGAAACGAGACTTACTGGTACGATCTGTTCCCCCCCGTGTTTCCTTTATCATTCTCATCGCTATCGCACGCATTTTAGGGTCACATATCAACGAAATATGATCTCCTTCAGTCACCATCGGACTTCCTTCGGGGCCATGACCGAAAAAATGTGGGGATCACATTTTATTTGCATGCATTAGAGGACGATGGCCTGGCCTTCAAGCCTACATCAGATTACGGCACTAATAATCGATGAATTCGTCAGGATTTCTGGGACCGCGAGAAGCCACTGAGTGATATATGCCATGGTCTTCCAGTACCCATGTTCTGTTATTGGTCATCTTTAACAAAAGTGCGTGCATGCGTTCCTGGTCTGTACAGTTATGCTAACGTCGACGATTTTTTAGGATACAGGGCTGGCGGGCTAAGACTTTTGCATGGTATTCTCTCAGCGTCGTGGGAATGAAAGCTATTGCATTCGCGGTACGTGCTGCGCTTTTTGCCTGATGCACCTTCAAACAGATGTTGTATCAAAACATTTCAAGGGCATCATAGTGCTACGTATTATGGCGTCGAGGAACTTGCACGAGTTATCGAAACGCAGTTCTTGATTATCAAAAATTGCTAACGCGTGCGCTTGGTATGATGCTCGGTGTGAGCGTCGGGCTCTTCGGACCGAGCTTCTCTCAGTTGTAATTATGAACTTTTCAGTTGTACAGCGTGTCCGCAGGTTCACGTCCGCCAATGTTCAGCGCAATATTACGACCCCGGTAACTCGACAAGGCGATCCTATGTTAATTGTCTGTAGTACATTGGTAGTACGCCCTGTGCGAAAGTCGGGTTCCACTTCCACCCAGAGAATTGGTTGAGTCGCTGTTCTAGACCCTTTTTTTCTTGTCCGTCGAATTCGTTATTGAAATAACCGCCGTTGTGTGCTGTTTAAAATGGTGGGTACTATGCGGACACCATACGCCAGAATGGACGAGACTATAGTTGTACTGCATGACTTCAGTGAGAAAAGGGGATAGTACTTGAAAATGTTCTTTCTAACGCCGTATGCGGGAAAAACGAGTACACATGTTCATGGGAAGGAAAAACCAAAAAGAATTTGTTGGAATTATTGCAGTGGGAGGCTTGCAGTAGGTATAATACTGAATTGTTAGCTACTAGAGCTCCTAATGAGCTCCTTATATACTACGAAATGTATCTAGAATATTCTACCAAAGTAACTAAATATATCTAAGTATCGTGACAAATGAGTAAGCCGAAGCTTCGGGAATCTTCTGGCATAAGCTTGAAGTTGCAAATCCCAACAGAATTCATGCCGACGGCGGTTGGTAGTTCAGCTGAAGTTAGTTGGCTACAATAAATACAACTATACTAAGTGGTAAGAGCCTGTTCGGTAACATTAATGTCAGAATTAATGCGCAATTCAAATACCACATGAAATTATAGGGTTACTTCGGAAAACTCCGCGTGATTGCTAGATTGGCACAACCATCGGAAAACTTCGGACACAGCCCCGACATCGACATCGTAGACCCTTCTTCGTCGTTTCCCACCCCCACTAGTCAACATTCCGCCACTATCCCGCCCACTCCAGTGCCCCATGTGACTATGAAAATGATTATTTTCGATTTTTTGAGACATTCGTTGTGCATATGGAAACGTTTTAATGCTCCTATTATAGCATACATGTACATGGTGTATATCATGAAAATACGCCATGCAAGCAACAAGCTGAGTAGAGTGGCAGTGAGCACGGTGTCGGGGTGCCGAACCAGATGTGTCAACACTCCTGAGGGTCACAGCATGGTCACATCCGGTGTATTTACTATCCGGTATTTAAACAGCACATTAATTCGCACATTAATGTTGCCGAACAGGCTCTAATCGAGTTTAAAGGGGTTTATACAAGGGTAATCGTCGAGTGAGTCCTCTGCACAGAGTTGACGTCTCCCGCAGCTCACATATCCCCGCCTCACAGGCCGTAAGTGGGATATACGTTCTCTCCACCTTGCTCTCGCAAGGTCGCAAGCGAGAGAATAACTTCGTGAGTCTTGCTTTCCGCACCATGCGTCATTGCTCCTTATCTTCCACCTATCACAGGTCGCAAGCGAAGTCGTACTCTCTTCACCCCTCGGGTCGCAAGAAGATTGAGCACGAGTAAGTCGAGCTTGTACCAGTCCTTGACTGTTGTATCCACTCGCCTTCACCTCCTAGGTCGCAAGCAAGGCGGAACGCAATCCCGATCCTGCAGATCGGCCGTTGCCTGGCAGACTGTGAGCAGAAGAGGGGTCATCCTCTCTCTGCCACGTATCCTCACAGTCTCGCCAGGTATGACCCTCAGTATCCTCTCTTTACCTCGTATACTTACAGTCTCGCTAGACGTAGTAGTGCTCGCTACATTGAATATACTATTCGATCTATATATCAACAACTACAGCAACTACAGCCCATACTATGTCCAATGGTCCGCCTCAGCAAGACGCCGGTCAAGAGCGGAGACCATTCAGACCATGGGAGGAGCCACAGAGACAAGAGGAACAAGATGAAGGCATCAGGAATGCCATTCACCGCGACCTCGAGAGGATCATCCAGCAGTACTTCGATGAAGCTATCCCAAAGACGACTGCCATCCGTCAGATATCGACCTACATTGGTCGAGCGTGTGAGCGACACGGCCTCATCTACGACGACGCCATGCTCGAACCCTGGCTCACTCAAATCGACGCTCACGAAAAATCGCTCGCTGATGCAGCGGATAGGGGTAGGCAAAGACAACCACCCGACGATGCAGCTGGCGGACAGAATAGGGGTTCTCCAAACGCACGGAGTAGGAGCCGTGGAAGGTCCCGACCCCGGTCACGGTCACAGAGCAGACATGGCCGACGTCGCCATGACCGACGCCGCAGACATCGACGACGATCCACCTCTTCAAGTGACTCCGACTCCGAGTCGGACTCCTCTGCTGATGAGGCTGAAGGACACGCAAAATGGCGCAAGCTTGATCCGTCCCTCTTTGACTGGGAGGTCAACAGAACTATCCAGAATGCAGTCCTCTCACCCGCACATTTGGCAGTCAAAAGGCGATACGAGAACTTCTCCGCGGACCCTAAAGAGTGTCTCCGCCTCATCAAGAACTCTCACCCCCCTCCGTTCACAGACAACGGCCTCAGAGCCATCGTCTACGGGAGTGTCGTTAACTTCGATGAAGTCCACTCCTACTTCAACAGTCCCAGTGTCCCAACAACTGTCACACACTCCCTCGGGAACGGACTCATGTTCCAAACGGCCGAGACCTCTTATGCCCACAAAGTCGTCAACCGTGACAACTGGAAGTTTGTCTGGGACAAATATGAGGAAATCCTCAACCACATCTTCAATGGACGGCAAGCCGAGCTCAGAAGATACTACAAGTTCATCAACAACTTGTTCCAGCGTCCCCACCCCAGCATGGACCCACAAGTCATCGTCTTTGAGAAAGCCTGCCGCGCTCATATCGCCTCGTCCCGTGGAACAATGCTCTTCAACGACATCCACGAGTTCATCGAGCTCAAGGAGTCTTATCTTGAGGTTACTGGCCTTGCCTATGTGGCTCCACCCGGTGAGGCCGGCACTAGCGGAAGTAGCAGAGAAGGTGGGCGACCAAAGAAACGACGAAGGGAGATTTGTCGGAACTGGAACGGTGGTCGGTGCTCAGCTGACGACTGTCGCTACCGACATGTATGCTCCAACTGTAAATCCAACGATCACTCCAGCAAGTCTTGCCCCAGCCGAAACACCGGGAAGTCTGTCTGAGCTTGCTGCTATTCAGGCTGACCTGTCGAAGTTCGCTGGGCGCGCTAACAGGCATGTAGAGTTGGACAACGATGAGGGTGACACGTATCCCCCAGACTGGGACTGTTGTGAAGAACTGGGGTTGGTAAATGAGGACGCAATCACTGCGTTCAGTCACATACCGAGATATATGAGAGGGTATGCCTGGCGCAACCCTACTCGATTTGAAAGCCGTACCGCTCACTATACTGAGGTTGACGAACCTCTGCCTCGTCCTCCTGCTTCCGAGTTTGAGAACCTGGCTGCGATGAGCACCATTAAGAACTATCCTCACCTGTTTGACGTGAGCACACCAATCAAGGTGGATCACCTTGAATCCCTACTCATCTCTCATCCCAACACTCCGTTTGTCGAGTCGGTCATAACCTCACTGCGCGAAGGATTCTGGCCTTGGGCACACACTAAACATGCTGAGGGGTACCCGGAAACCTGGGACAATTCATGGGCTCCGCCTGCGAGCAAAGCGGAACAGTCATTTCTCGCTCATCAGAGAGATATCGAGATTGAGAAACGTCGTTTCTCACCTCCATTCGGCCCAGATCTGCTACCTGGGATGTACAGCACTCCTGTGTTGGCTGTACCAAAACCGCATTCTGACAAGCTACGCCTGGTATCACATCAGAGCTGTGGCATATTCTCTCAGAACAGCATGATTGACAAAGAGCTTACTCGTGGACCCCGGATGGATACTCTCCACCAATTCCTGCCCGCCTTGCTCCATTTTCGCCGAAAACATGGCAACGCCCGCCTGGTCCTATGGAAGTCCGACGTCTCTGAGGCGTTCCGACACCATCCTGCTCATCCTCTCTGGCAAATAAAGCAGGTCGTTACGACAAACATACCCACGAGGGAGGATCTGGATCGTGGCGTTGAATGCGGTGCTTTGATACGCACCGTAGATTGGCATAGTTGTTTCGGGAGCTGCGCCTCGCCTCGCAATTGGGCCTCTATCATGGGCCTGATCATCTGGATCGCAATCTTCATAAAATTTATTCTCGACTTGTTCTGCTATGTCGATGATATGCGGAGTTGGGAGATGGAAGGCAGTCTCACCTGGTACGAGCCATACCAATGCTTCTACCCCACGAAACAAGCAAAATTCTTGCTCCTCCTGGACGAACTGGGCATTCCACATGAGAAGAGGAAACAACTGTGGGGTGCTATCCTCACCGTCATTGGTTTCTTGATTGACGTCAACGAGATGACCGTGACTCTCCCACCCGAATCAAAAGCTGAGCTCATCGCCGCCATCCGTGAGTTCATCAACACTCCCTCGCGCCGCCGAACCGTGAGCAAGTGGAAGCAGCTAGCCGGGTGGATGAATTGGTCCTTGAATGTCTTCCCCCTGCTGAAACCAGGCCTGTGCAACGTGTACGAGAAGATTTCGGGCCGTCACGAAGCCTATAAGAAGTTGTACCTCAACGAGGCTGTTAAAAAGGACTTAGAATGGTTCCTCACCCACGTCCAAGCTTCTTCCGGCATCCTCCTTTTTGATGCACTCGATTGGGACCCTGCCTCGGAGACCAATCTCACTATCCTTTGCGACGCCTGCATGTCCGGCATGGGCTTCTGGATTCCTGAGCTGCTGCTAGGTTTCTACGCTCCCGTACCCTGCGACCCTCCCAAGGACACGATTTTCTTCTGGGAGGCTCTCTGTGTTGTCGCGGCGTTGGAGTGGTTCTGTGTAACCATGCGAGCGGACTCTTCTCTCACGGACCGGCTCCGGGTCACGATTAAGACCGACAATTCCAACACGGTCGACCTTTTTGACTCTCTCCGTGCTCTCCCCACCTACAACTCCCTCCTACGTGCCGCCGTCGACCTCCTGCTTGCTCATGATGTCGACCTCCGTGTCCTGCACATCCCTGGCACTGAGAATGTCGTCGCTGACGCCATCTCACGCTCAAAATTCAACGACGCCTGCTCGTACGCTCCCGGCCTGCTCATTCGGCCCTTTCAACCCCCTTCTGATGCGTTGGGGGCAGCGAAAAAATGATTCGGGTGTCTGCTACGGCCAGGCAGCCCCCTCGGGTGCCCTGGTCGTTGGACGAACTCGTCCACAAGCGCTCGATTGCGCTTGGCCTCGCTCTCGACAGTTCTTCACAGTCGACTTACTCCTCTGCTCTCAACTCATACCTCACCTTCTGTGCCATGCACAGTTTTCCCATTGAACCAACTGCAGACACGCTCTCGTTCTTTGTGGTGTACATGTCCTTCCACATAGAGCCTCGCTCTGTGGGGACTTATCTCTCCGGCGTCGTCAGCCAGCTCGAGCCTCATTTCCCTGATGTACGCGCCATCCGGAATGGCATGCTCGTTAAATGTACCCTCAAGGGTTGCAAAAGGCTTCGCAGTAAGCCAATCAAGCGGAAACAACCTCTCTCCCATAATCATCTGCGCACGGCCTTGTCAAGCCTCACACCGTGGTCATCATATGATGATGTCCTCTTCGTCTCGATGCTGTTCGTTGGTTTCTATGGGCTCCTCCGCCTGGGCGAGATGACTATGCCTGATAATCCCGCGCTGCGTAACCCTTGCAAGTACTCACGTCGGTCGTCCGTAGAATGGATCCCTGAGGGTTTCGCATTCTGGCTCCCTACTCACAAGACGGACACCACCTTCGAGGGTAGCCGCGTTGTCATTCCCCGGAAATCAACAGCAGCCATTGACCCTGTGGCCATCTTCCAGAGGTACCTGCTCCTCCGCGATGCACGCTGCTTATTCCAGCCCTTTCTCTGGGTACGCGAGAACGGCTCAGTGCCCTCTCGTTCTTGGTTCATTCGCCGTCTCCGCAAGCTCATTCCCCAGGCGGGTTTTGCTGGACAGTCTATACGCTCTGGCGGCGCCACTGCCCTCGCCGAGGATGGGGTCTCCCCACATCTCATTCAGGCGACTGGCCGGTGGTCATCGGACACATTCCAGATCTACATCCGGAAGAACCCTGTCATCCTCCTGGCCATGCTTCATACCCAGAGAAATCATGCTCCTGCGTCTGCATGAGTCCATCTACATCTCATCTTTCTCTCTCTATTCTCCACTCCGTTCCTTCCTTCTTCCCTTAGCCATTTAGCGATCATACACCACGCAATCGCATTTGGGCTCCCCAACGTGCGGGGAGTCTAGACTTGGCTAAACAATGGGTGCCTCATACTAAGCTCGAGACGATTGGTCGAGTTTAAAGGGGTTTATACAAGGGTAATCGTCGAGTGAGTCCTCTGCACAGAGTTGACGTCTCCCGCAGCTCACATATCCCCGCCTCACAGGCCGTAAGTGGGATATACGTTCTCTCCACCTTGCTCTCGCAAGGTCGCAAGCGAGAGAATAACTTCGTGAGTCTTGCTTTCCGCACCATGCGTCATTGCTCCTTATCTTCCACCTATCACAGGTCGCAAGCGAAGTCGTACTCTCTTCACCCCTCGGGTCGCAAGAAGATTGAGCACGAGTAAGTCGAGCTTGTACCAGTCCTTGACTGTTGTATCCACTCGCCTTCACCTCCTAGGTCGCAAGCAAGGCGGAACGCAATCCCGATCCCGCAGATCGGCCGTTGCCTGGCAGACTGTGAGCAGAAGAGGGGTCATCCTCTCTCTGCCACGTATCCTCACAGTCTCGCCAGGTATGACCCTCAGTATCCTCTCTTTACCTCGTATACTTACAGTCTCGCTAGACGTAGTAGTGCTCGCTACCCACCCTGTTACGTTCACACTTCTGTTAATTCGTGTACTCAGTACCTACTGGTAGCTACTGGTTGTATCCGCGGGGAGTCTAGACTTGGCTAAACAATGGGTGCCTCATACTAAGCTCGAGACGATTGGGCACACTGATAGCCATGAGCGATCTATTAATGTTGCTAAGTTTCATGTATATCAGCATCAGTATGTATGGAAAGACCCGGCCTGTAAAATCGTGTCAAATTGAAAATTCTGCGCGGATCCACGTCCCGAGTGCTCGGCAAGATTCAATAGTCTCTCAGCTGGTGAATAACGCGATGTCCCTGATCACGATCAAGATCCCAATCTAAGATTCAGAGATCTAAGAAAAGACGCCAAAGGGATAGAACCATTATTGCTACTTGCTTCCGCTTCCTCCGTTTTCCCCAGAGCCTGCACTAGGGTAAGATTGTCCTCCGCTCTTGATAACACCGCACTCAGGTTGCTGAGTTATTCCCCCTCCAATCAGCGCAGAACCTCCGCTAGTGTTGGTATGTCTTCCGCGAGAAGTGCATCTGTAAAGTGTTGACTAATATTATCTTGCTTTTTGGGGGGTGTAGAGCTCGCTTACTCATGACCGGAGCCTGACGGGCTACTAGTGGAAATTTAGTCAAAGTAGAGAGGAATGGAAGAATAAACCTCAAACCCAGATGATCCCCTGTAAACACCATCATGAGGACTGGTGCGTAGATAAGATATTAGAAAGAGCACATACCCATCACCTTGGAAGCATGCATAAAGGGCCTGGGAGCGCTTAAAAGTGCTGAATGGCATGTTACGAGTGGGGAAGGTTGCAGCATGTTGGAATGACTTTATACTACCATAGCTTATATTCATCTGCCTCTGATTCTATGAAACTGAATGGCATTTCATAATGTATCATTATACACTGTGGCGATCACACCTGGGTCGAGCCCTGACATATGAAACATAACTTAGTTTTCAATGCAGCATTACAGAAGCTCCTGTAGTAATTGAGAGTGAGCCTAGACAACTCCACTGCGGTTGAATTAGGGCCGAGTGCATCTATCTTTGAAGTCACCTAAGCTATGAGTCAAGTGCTGATAATTATATATTCTGATGATTGACTGGAGATAAGTATGAACCAAGTCGAAGACTCGAAGCTGCCTCCATCTTGAGTTTTGACACGACCGCAATGGTGTTTTCATTGTCTCGATAATTGACACTGAGGATATTGCTTTGATTAATCATGAATCGGGCCGGCACTGGCAAATTCGGGTGCAGAGTGTATGA